GTCCTGCACATGATGGATGAGCCTGGAAGGTGGCAGCGCAAGGACCCCCCCGGGCCTTGAGAACAGAAAGGCTCAGCGCCTCTCGTCTTTTCCTCTCGGCACTTGAAGCCAGGTCTTGTCTGCGGCAAAACTGCTGGGCCCACTGCCCTAACGGGGCGGCAGAAGGCAAGGACAGGAGCCCGCTCCCTCGGGAGCTGGGGGCCGCGGTTTCTTGTCGGGCAAGGAAACTCCCCTTGGCTTCTTGAGCCTGAGGGAGAGGGGAGCGGGGTCCCTCCGGGAGGAAAGAGTTAAGCGGCCGAAAAGGGGGTTGGGGAGGGTTACAACAGATGAAGCCTTTCACTCAGTGATGTAAAACCCCCAGCCTCTCTGAGGACTGTGGAACGGAGCTGCTCGCAGCCGGAGTGTTACGGTTTGTAACAGATTGTTGATACCCCCGGGATGAGGCGACCACCGGGAAACAGCCCGCTCTGCCCTTCGCACGCACACACGGCTCCACAGAGTGCAGACAACAGCAAAGGGCAGCAGCTCCAATGCTGCCGGCGGATGCTCCCCTCCTCAGCTTTAACCCGTGGTGTATTTTTAGGGGGTTGGTTATTTAAAGGCCACAGCCACATTTCGGGAAGGTCTCCTCCTCCCCCCTTTCCCGACCGGCTCGGGCGCGGTTGCGGTCGTCGGAGAGGGAAGCTCTGGGAAAAGGCTGCTCCGAGAGCCGGTGCCTGAACCGCCGCACTGCCTCTTTCCTCCTCTCCTGTGCCGCTGCCGCCAGCCTGGGTTTTAAACCTGGGGAGTGCTCTCCCTAATTGCTCTCTTAATGAGACAGATACTCTGGTGTAAGGAGTACTTCCCCTTTTTCTCGTTCCACACACAGAACACACAGAGCCTCAGGTTGCTCTTAGCCACTTCAGAGAGAAGGTTCCTGCGTGACGTCTCTGCCTTTGGTTAAGACGTCATGGCCTGTTTCCGTAGCGAGGTGACCTCATCAGAGTATTGCTATCGCTAGCCTCAACCAAGGGGCCTGTCCGCCCGCGGCAGCGTCTCCTCCCGCAGCAGGGTAACTAGAGTGATTGGAGTAAATTTGCCTACAGGAGAAGGGATTGGGGTTTTTCATTAAATAAAATGCCTTCTGAAGAGACTCTCCGTGACCCCCGCGCTGCGGCTGACACCCTTCCCAGTGAGGGTCCTCAGTGTGTTTGCAATTAAAATGTTTGTCTTTGATATTAATAATGGTAATCTTTACCTAAGCCCCCAGCCAAAGCAAACAGGGCCCTGGAATCACAAGATCAAAGGGTAATAACAGGGTAAGGACAAGCAGGTTGTGATTTAATCTGGGCTTTCTCCAGAGGGGCCATGCACAGAGGCATCGAGGTTTTTACACGACGGCCGCTGCCCCTTCTCTCCCCCTCCGCCGCGCTCCGGTTTATTTAACGGGAAAGACGAGGGCCGGGGCGCTGCTCCAGCAAAGACACCTAAATCCCGGCCGCCTCGCCCCCACCGGCCCCACTCCGCACGGAGCCACCTGCCCGCTCCCGCGGGGGGCGCGGATCCGCCGGCGGGACTAGGAGGACACGGGGTGTCTGCAGTGCTGCTGCGTTGTCACCGCTCTGCTCTGAAGTGACCAGACTGTGCTTAACGCCTCTTTTTTCTTTTTATTGTGCATCTTTGTTTTCTTCCCTAACACCGGCCGCAGCCCCAGGAGGGAGGCAGGCAGCCGGCAGCGGGCTCAGCTTATTTTCCGAGGCCGAAGGCAAGCAGGCAGGCGTCTGTCCGGCAGCTATTTCCACGGGGAAAATTCCTGCTGGAATCAGTGCTGCTTTGGGGAACCAGTACGACTTTTCCAGAGCTTCCACCTTTCTGTGGGGAACGAACTGGGGAATGGGAGTGGGGGGCAGGGGAGGGAGGAGGCTGAATAATTGAACCATGTGCTCGCTGGGACGTCCCTCCGATAGCAGGAACTAGCGACTCTTCCCAGTCTCAAGGCTGCTAAAAGCCCCTCTCGTCCCTTTGATCTCTCTTGGGAGTCCGGGGATGCCAACAGAGGCCAATGCCTTCTTCAGCTGTCCTCTGTACAGATCCCCCTGGCAGGTACTAATGTGTTTACTTAGGTGCGCGGCGTTCCCAGCACTGGGGGGAACCAAACGTTTCTCACACGGCTGGAAGCGCCCGGCCCTACCAGCCCAACTGCGAAACAGTTTCCCGGCGGGGCGGCGCTGAGGAGCCCTCGCCGCCAGCCACGGCACCCACCGACCGCGGGAGGGGAGAGGCGAGGGGCGAAGGCGGCACGGAACGGCTCGGCAGTGTCGGGCGTCCCGTTACATACAAGACGTCCCTCCCTGGGTAACGCTCCTGGGGCCGGTTGCCGCTCCGCACCGGAGGTCCGCTGGGAACCGCAACGTGCTTTGCAGAGGTGCGGGGTGCGCAAGGCTTGGGTGGGCCCCAAACACCTCTTGCCCCTCGGGAGGGTTTTCTTTGGTTAAATAGAAAATCCCGTTAAATAGATCATACGAACTGCGAATGCTCCCAACGTGGGATGGAATCCCTCCAGAAATAGGATTGCTGCGGTTGGGGCGAGGACTCCATTTCATAGAATGGTTTGGGTTGGAAGGGACCTTAAGGATCATCTAGTTCCACCCCCCCTGCCATAGGAAGGGACACCTTCCACTAGGCCAGGTTGCTCAAACCTCCGTCCAACCTGGTCTTAAACACTGCCAGGGATGGGGAAGCAGCAGCTTCTTAAAGGGGTCGTGACACGTTCACCATTTTCTCTGTGTCCGTCCACAGGGGCAGACAGTGTCTGAGGGTCTGGCGGTTCCCGCTTTCCGGACTTGAGCCGCTATTCTCCCCCACCCCCCAGCAGCCTCATTAGCCAGCCTTGTAGTTTGTGTTTTCTCTCCCCCGTCTTTAGTTCCACTCCCCTATTGCACTTCTGCAAACTTGAGATCACTTTACCAGAGGAGCCGGTGGCTCTTAAGGGATACTAATTACAGATTTTTTTCTTCCTGAGTGACAAGCTCTTCCATCCTTTCTTCCCTTTCCCCCCAAATATTAAAGGAAAAAGGGAAACAAAGTTTCCTAGCTCCTCAAAAGACTTCTGGGGAAAGGTAAGCTTCTTAACGACCCCACTCCGGCTCTGCAGGCCGGGAGATGGGACCGATGGGGTATCCACCAGGAGACCTACTGTGCGTGCCTGGAGAGAAACCCCTCCTTGGAAGGTGATCATAGCTGTGGCCAGCACTTGAAAGATCAAGTTTATTTGTGGACAAAGAATAAATCTGTAAACAGGGTTTATTTTAGCCAGCGCAAACGGGGTAAATCACAGTATGTGTGTGTCCGTGTGCTCGCCACAGCTCAGTGAAGAATTCAAGTTACTGCCGAGCAGAGCCCCTTTCTAACTGACGGTGTCTTAAGAAAACAATAGGGAACTGCCCTGTTTCAGATGTGGCACAACTGAACAGCAACCTGCTCCTCGGGGTGGCAGAAGCCTGGAATTCTGAGCTTTCCCCTTTCTGTAACTTTACTCCTTTATCAACTCCCGGCTTTTCCTACAGTATTCATTTCAAAGGGGGCTCTCCCCGTCCCGTTTATGGCCCCAAATAAACCGAAGCAGCGCAAATGTAGCCTTCCCTAAGCTTTCGATAATTATACATCCGATAGTTGGAAGAAGGAGGTGTGTGTGCATGGGGATTTTCTTTAAGGAAAATCATTTAGCCTAAAAGTGGAAATCCGCCTTTTGGGGGTTCGAGGCTAGGGGGGAGGAGATGAGGTCTCCCCAGCAGCAGGCGCGGGTGGGGGGGGTCGGATGGTTTTCCAGCACGGCACCTCTCTTAAGGTGACGTTCCCTGCCCGCTTTGCTCACTCGAAGAGCAGCTCCTTGAGACACCGGGGTGGCCGTGCCCTCTGCGTTACCTTTTCCTGACGAGGGCCTAAACCGGAGTCGCCTTTTTCCTGGACACACGGACCGGCTCTGTAGCGTTTGATCAGCTGCTGGGTCCCTTGCTCTCCGTTTGAGTTAACCTAGGTGAACATAATTTTATTCCCAGGTATGGAAGGTTCCCTTCGCCTTCTCACAATATTTGCCTCCAATACAAAAGCCACCTGGATGAAACCAAAGGGTTACTGCGCGTTAGCAAATGCCTGTTAAATGGCTTCATTACCGCTCTAATGACCCTTGCACCGCTCCGCTCAGCTACTGCTGCGGCTGGGGCTCTGCAGGGCTTTTGTCCCCGGCTTGTGTAAAATTACTTAGGGATTGCGGGGTTAGAAATTTTACACTTCCAGGAGGGGTTTGTTGCACTGGCAGCTGGGACGCATCTGTAACGGTACAAGTTTGCCTGAAAGCAGAAAATTAGCAAGCCCGAGGCACTGCTCGACTGTTGTGTCTCTGGCAGTGCCGGGTCACACGAGTAGGAGAAAGAATGGGAAGGGGGTTTGTCTCGGAGCAAACACGTACACTTTTCATTTGTGAGTAGCGTTCCCTGTGACCCGATCCGACAGCACTAAAACCTGGGTCCCTCCACTCCTCGTCTCTCCTGGCCACACGTAGCTGGGCATTTTTGTCCCCTGGTTGATGACACAATTTCAATTACAGGACACGCTCAAGATAAACGAGCAAACCTTAGGTCAGAAGCAAGGGGTGAATTTTTTCAGGTTAGACGTGTACCACAGGCTGCGTGGACTAAAGACACGCAAGCGGATGCTGTAGGTGCTATGGGGAGCCTTCTACGTTAATTCCTCTGCGGGGAGAGCCGGTGTCGCTCCCGCTGCAGCGTGTGATGGGAGAGGGGAGCACCGGGGCGAGAAACATCTCTGTAGGAGATGTCAGCCGTTCGAGAGCGCTTACTGCCCTTCTTTCTCTTCCCATAGCAAACCCGCGAATTCCCAGTCTTGGTTTCAACTTCGTAGATGCCACAAACAGTCCTGGGGAGGTCGGGCATTAGAGAAGTGCCCAGCTCACGGTTCTCCAAGGGAGCGGTGCGAAGCAAATTGTCTCCTGGGGCCTTGCCCAGACAGCCCCCGGCGGGGGATGTGGTGGGATATGCTAATACAGCCTGGCCGCTGCGGACCAGCCTCCCTTTACGTGTATATATAAGGGCCCCCCGCATCAGCCAGCGGACACTTCGTCTCAGGTCGCTAATTAAGGAGGAAATTGCCCCAGCGCGCCTCGACGAGAGCCGCCGGCTGCCGCCCCACGCTGACCATCTCTGCTGCAGGGATGGAGGTGATGGACAGCTGCCAGTTCTCCCCGTCCGAGCTATTCTATGACAGTTCCTGCCTCTCCTCCCCGGAGGGCGAGTTTCCAGAGGATTTTGAACCCCGGGACCTGCCTCCCTTCGGCGGCCCCGAGCCCCCCGAGCCCGCCGGCTCCGAGGAAGAGGAGCATGTCCGAGCTCCCACTGGCCACCACCAGGCCGGCCACTGCCTCATGTGGGCTTGCAAAGCCTGCAAGAGAAAATCCACCACAATGGACCGGCGGAAGGCGGCCACCATGAGGGAGAGGAGGAGGCTGAAGAAAGTGAACCAGGCTTTTGAGACCTTGAAGCGATGCACCACTGCCAACCCCAACCAAAGACTTCCCAAAGTAGAGATCCTGCGAAACGCCATCAGATACATCGAGAGCCTCCAGGAGCTCTTGAGGGAACAGGTAGAAAACTACTATCACCTGCCGGGACAGAGCTGCTCCGAACCGACCAGCCCTACTTCCAGCTGCTCCGATGGGATGGTAAGAGCGGGACAAGAGCGATGGGGCTGTGGGGACCCCACAAAGGCCCGCGGAGAGTCCCCCCTCAGTCCAGCGTCGAGGGACCGGTCTTATGGGTATGGGACGTAAAGAATGCACCAGGACGTTAGAAAAAGGCGTACGGGCTGCGTTAGAGCAGGCCCGTTCTCTGATTTAACGCTAGGCACGCACACGGGCTTTCCGGGAATGCGGGGGGACACGGCAACGCGGCCAGAGGACACCCAGCAAGGGCCCTAGCTCCCGGAGGCTCGTCCCCGGGGTCCGTCCCCCGCGTCCGTCCCCCCCCCAGTTTAGCGCGGCGTAGGAGAGGAGTGAGACGTGGGGCGGGGGCATAGACGGGGAAGGGGAGAAGCTCCCTGGCGGGGAGCTGCTGTCCCGCTCCCGTGCGGCACCAGGGCTTCCTCCCCGCGGGCTTTCAGGCACTTTACCTCCGGGGGAGCATCCCACTGGCCCGGGGCGCAGTGGGGGCAGCTGGGCCGGCACTCGCCCCTCGCTATTTTGCAGGCCGACTGCGGCAGCCCCGTCTGGTCGGCGAGAGGCAGCAGCTTCGACGCCGTGTACTGCTCCGAGATGGCCCACGGTAAGCCTGACCCGCCGGCAGCCGAGGGCGCGGGGGATGGAGGAGTGGGCCGGGGAAGCCGCCTCGCTCCCCGTGGTATTTTTGGGGGCCAGCACAGGAACCCGCTGTAACGCGCTGCCTTTCTCCCGGTTCCCTCATCCCGGCCGCAGGGTACGCCGCCGGGCAGAGCAGCGCCCTGTCCAGCCTGGACTGCCTCTCCAGCATCGTGGACCGCCTGTCTCCGGCGGAGGAGCCGGGGCTGCCTCTCCGAGACGCCGACTCCCTCTCTCCCAGCGCCAGCATCGACTCGGGGCCGGGGACGCCAGGGACGACGCCGCCACGACGGACCTACCATGCGCTATGAGGGCCCGGACGGGCCGGCACCCCGCGCCTCCCGCCGCCGCCGGGGCCGCCGTCTTCGCCCGGCCACGTCCCGCAAGCGCTTCTCGGGCGAGAGGGGCAGCCCCGGCGCAGCTTGTCCCGCCACAACCCCTCGGGGCCGGGGCAAAGCGCCCTGCCGGGCCCGGCCCGGAGTCCCCCCGGGGTCGGCAGACCCTGGGGCTCGGGACAGCGCTGCCCTGGAACCCTGCTGCAAATAAAACGTGCTGTAAGAGAGCTGTCCCGCCTGATGGTTTTTTTACGTGCGTGCCTTGGTACTGGGGAGGGCAGTGAGACCCGGCTGCGGGGGCCCTGTCAGCATCTGTGTTCATCCCCAGCCCAGCCTCTGTCACCCCCAGCTCCTGCCTCGCCCCAGCGGTCCTGGGTTACGGGATGTAACATCTTGCCGGGCTGGGGCCTGGGAGCTTGATTCTTCTTTCAGCAGTGTGTACTGCTGTGAGAAGGCTCATAGAGGAACAAAACTGTGGAGGGTCAAATTCTCCCTCCATTCCTGTCCTGCTACTGGCAGAGTCACCTTTATTTTTTGCAAGAGTAGAAGTAGTATTTTATATACTATATACACGCCAGCAAAGCACTCATATCTTTCTCTGGGTATGAAGACTGAGCACATACTCCCAGATTTGATCCTAAAATTGCCTGGTGACTTTCTTCTGTAAAACAAACTCTGTGATCTACCTCTGATACCCTGTCAGGTAATTTTACTCTCAGCCACTCTCAGTACTCTGAAAGAGACAAGTTTAAGTGAAGTTAATAAGAGCAAACCACAGGTATCTCTTTCCCAATCCACGGGGTACATATTACAATATTCAGAAAGCAGTTTTCTCCTAATGACTTTGGTTCTACTAGTCGGTGTGAAAATTCTCTATTTACATGGACCTAAAGATAGACAGGTAAAGTCTTCATGAGTTTCAGAATTAACAAGTATTTCCTTCCAGACACTAAATTTCATTCTTTCTACCATGGAAAAATTCCAGCCCTTTGCACTGTTCTAGTTGCAATCCAGAACTTTTTAGGCCTTCTCCGTGCCCCCAAAAAGACAGAGATGAGATGGAGAGATGGGCTCCTTCAGTGCACCCAGAAATGTCTCCTGCAAGAAACACTGAGTAGGAAGAGATGTGCACCCTCACTAGCGTGGGATAAGGTTGTATTTGCCATTTGTGTTTCCGTTGTTTAGCACTGGGTGGCCAAGGGGCCTGGAAGTGGTATTTCACCTCTGATAAATCTTTCACTTGAACTCAGCCCAGCTAAGTCATGTCGCTGTTACCACCTGACTGTTCTTTGGCAGCACCTCTGAACTGAAGATGAAAGAAGCCTGGCTCAGGGATGGCCCCATCCTCTCAGCACACCAGGGGACTGTGTCTCCCCAAAAGGGCTACAGAGAAAGTGAGATGGCAGCTAGCTACCTGAGCTGCTTAGCCAGGGAAGCAGGCAGCTCTGCTCCTGACACAGGCTGATGCAGGCAGCCAGTCCTTTTCCAGCATGGCTGCCCTCAAAATCACTTTTTGCCCTTTCTGTGTAACCTTGAGGTAAGGGTGTTCTTTCCTGCAAAGTTAGGAGGAGCCTTTTCAGAATGGGCTTTTGGTGTATACAGTTAGGTCCCAAGTAGAAAAAGTGGTTTGAAACCCCTGGATTGCAGAGGTGCAAACAAGGCAATCACACACTCCTGTTGTTACAGATCCTTCAGGAGTACCCAAGCGCTTTAATTCAGACACAGTTACAGGTGATCTTTCTTAGTTACAGGTGATCACTTCCTTAGCCTTCTGTTTGTAGAAATCCTTATGCAAGACTGTGAACACCACTGTATTTATTCATGATTTCTCACACACTGCTGCAGTGCTAGCCCCTCTCAACCAAAACACTGTCCCAAGGATACTGCTTAGGGCCAGGACCTAGCACAGTGCAGATCCGCTTAAGTGATGGTTTAAAACAAGCTAAGCTGGAGAACTTCCAGCATTTCATTCTGCACTATACTGACCTTGGCAAGTGATCTCTGGTGAAGTATGCAGAGTAACACTACCAAATCACATGTTGGTAATGGACACCTCTGTTTGGCTGGGAGATGTTTTAAGAGTTGCAAAAAGGTCAATACTTCTGAGAAGCAGCTTTTCAGAGAGTGAGAAATGTCCCGTCTGTGGGATGTTTGTCCTCAGACCTCCTAAGTCCTACCAGACTAACTTACAATTTGTGAGTTCTGTTTTACACATCTAGGAAACAAACTCTTGATTACAGGACATCTATAAACAAAGTTCCCATGAGCTGAAATGTGCTGTAATCCTCAGAAGGAATGGAAGTTAGGACCATGAAACCACCTTTAGCCTGTGTATTGGGGAAAAAAAGGTGTAAAGGGCTAAAGGGCTGCTGTCTTGGGAGTTACACTCTTTGCACATAATAATAGTAATAATAATAAATAATGAACTGAAAAGAGATATCTGTATAGTATGTGAAACATGCTCATTTAAGGAAGGTTGTGCCCACAAATACAGAAGATGATGGTACAGAAAACCTGGGCTCTACCTCTCAAGTCCTGTCACCTGGTCGAGAGCTGCAGGCTCTGGGACACTCTTCAGTGGTCTCATGGGCAGGCAGGCTGGCAGGTGGGATGAGAGATGCCTCACAGTGCCAGCATAATGTAACACAGGAGCTGCAAGTTTTCTGACTCTAACTCACTGCAAGGGAAAGGCATAATTCTGTGCAATTTAAAAAATACAGTCCATGCCATATTTCAATTTTACCTCTGAAAATCGTGCCTTTTTGGGGGGCTTATATCCTGACTGAGAGAGGCAGCTGTGCTTTTCTAAGTGTGTGTGTGTGCAGAGCTTCTTGTATCTTTTATCTTTTGTTAAGAAACCAAACGGAGACCTTCAGTAAAATACCTGTTTTATACTCAGCTCAAAAGCCCCACTGTACATTACAAAACTAACACAGGAACATAGCAAAGATCTTTTAGATATAACATCAAGACAAAAATCCTGCTTGCTTTATGTTTGTATTTCTGAATTGCTTGTGTGGAAAAACACCCATTTTCCCTGTAGGAAAAGATCAACCTCTTCTCCCATGGTAAGTCTTATAAGTGATAAAATTCTAGTAATTAATTCTTGGAGGATGAAGGACTTCTAATTCATACTGTTTGTCAAAACATGCCTAGGAATGTCCGCAGTTTGTGGCAGCATTTTGTTGGAAATTCTTCATCTTCCCAGCTTAGCCTGCTTGTCAGGAGGAGTCAGACATAGCAGGCAGCTCCATTCTCCCCACCCCAGAACTGCTCCCTCCCCTCCTTCTCCTCCTCCTCATCTGCAGGGCCCTTGATTTTCTCATCACATCTCCTTACTCCTCTCCGCTGGACCTTAGGGTCCCACTGGAGGAGCCACAGCTGGCCAGCTGACGACTGCTGACCTTTGGCAGGCTCTTGCACAGGGTATCAGCCTTACAGCTGGCCACAACTGCCTTCCTGGCAACTAGAAGACCTAATGAGCTTGGCCAGCTGGAGAGTGGGCTGGGATTCTGCTGGCTCATTCGATCCTGTGTGAGGGATGGTGGAGTTCACCCCCAGGTATGGAGGGGGTGAGCAGTGCATCGGTACATGTGCTGCCTCAGGACATCAGGGCCAGCCTCTCCTGCAGCAGACTGGATTAGTGGAATGAGTGAAAAAGAGACTGCTTCAGTTGAGTTTTCAGTTGAGTTATTAGTTAGGCTTCACTAGTGGCCTTTGCCCTCACTACGTGTTATTCTGTTCTCTCCCTTCAATTGGAGACATACACCCATCCACCAGATCAGAGCTGAACTGAGCGAACTATTCCACTTTCCAAACACAGCTCTTCATTTGGCAGGTGCCCTGCTTGCTTTCCCCCAGGAGCTTATGCATCCTGAATGCTCATGGATCTCATACCAAAATCCACTGTACTGCAGAACCTAGCTATTTTCTCAAAGGTTTCCTGCTTTCCTTTCCCTAGACCAGCTGATAGGCACATCCAGTCCTGGAGACTGGTTTCAATTTGGGCATGAGTAACATTTACGGACTAGTTGGCAATCTGCTGGGAGATGTTAGTGGCTATGATGCCAAAGGCATCACTGAGCTGTGCTTGAAAAAGTTGATAGTGGGCATAGTATATGAGGGCCCTCAAACCCAGTGAGAGAAAGAAAGGTGTCTGGACTAAATCAAGTACAGTTGAATCTGATACTCTCTGAGAGACCTTCAAACCTAGACTAGCAGCAGAGGAATAAATGTGTGGTCTTTTTGTTTCTCTGATCTTCTGTGAATATATGCTTTTGAACTTACACTATTTTCTGTTTTAAAAATTCCATATAACATGTATGCTAAGTAAAAATAAACCCTACTGAGAAGGCCTAAACCTTTAGCTTTGATATTTTTGATTGGTTGGTTTTGGGGGGGTGTGTTTGAGGGTTTTTTTGTTTGTTTTTTTTTTAAGTACCGAATTCTACCACTTGCTGCGGGACTCAGCTAGCTAACAGGGACTCAGGGACCCAGCAAAGATCTGGTTGTGGTACAAAACTCAAGCGGGTGTGCCTGTAATACATTATAGGGGGCCAAACTATGGATTAAATCAAGGTGAATTAATCCCATTGCCTTTAATTGTTTGATTCCACGGAATTTATTGAATTAATAAATGAATAACTCCTTAATGAACTGTGAGCAAACAATGGCTAACACTTCAGTTACACCTGTGCATAGTCTTGGTGTGGAGACCTCATCTGCAAATGCACCACTGCTCCAGCAACGTTCTTTTTATTGTAAATGAAAGGTTTTGAATCTGCTAAACCCCTCATTCTGTTCTCATTTCCATGTTTTAAGTATCCATATTTGCAAGGTGTTGTGGGTTTCTTTTCTTTTTTTTCTTACTATCATGCAAAACCACTAGATTTGTTTATTTTCCTGTCCATTCTGTGATGCTTTGAAGAAACAGAAAGACAAACAGTATTTCCATTTTGAAAAGTACTTATTCTACAATTGCTCATTTGCAGCATCTTCAGACTGAGCTAATAGTGCAATTCGGAATCCTGCTACCTGGGTGCTTTAAAAAGCAGAGGAGGAAATGTCTCTGCTGGCTATGCTGCAGATACATCCAAAGTATGTATCTGAAATCCCTTCCTCAAACTTAAGGCTTATATGTAGACTTGTAGTAAATGCCTTTCTAGACAGTAGAGATCACAGCTAAGATTCTGTCTTAGATTTCACTGAATTAACTCAGTGACTTGAA